CATGTATCATGTTTGTCGCGTACAACGATATCGTTAATTTCTATTTTTCTCTTAAGTGCCTTTTCCCTTGGGGTACAAAATATAATATGGATAGCATTATTATGGGTTCTCTAAAGAGAATAGACCCTCCCGAGTAATACATTTTTTTTGAAATAATAGTCATTTTGTATATTGGAACTAATGAGAAAGTTGTCCGCCTACACATCACACAGACCTTACAGATTCAACCAATTTGAAGAGCCCACGCCTGAAGTGATATCAATTTTTTTTCAGGAATTCATAACTTTCTCACTTTTTGTCCGATTTCATTTAAACTTTCACCATTCTACTTCTCTGATTTTCCTGCTTTCCTCGATAGTAGTTTTATTTTTATATTTGTGTTTCCTCGATAGTAGTTTGCTCTAGTATCAAGGTCGGATTTCCCTTTAATAATGACGACATGACGACATTGTTTAATGGGATGTTCGCCTCCCTCCTCCCAGATAACTGATAAAGGCTTACATACATATCTTTATTCAATGTTTTCCGTTTAAAAAGAAAAGAATAAAAAATCTGTAAATTTAAATCACATGAATTGACACTACTTATAATTATTACAATGATTAATGCTCTCTCCATCTCATTACACCATTTAATCCAAATCTACAAATAAAGAGTATGTAACACATAAAAATGCTGGTCAAACAGTGATTATTATGTTTATTAACGCTTTGATTTTTTCACTAAAAATTACATCATCATCATTCATGAATTAAACAGAATTCTGTCATTATCATTTATCCGACAATATATTTTTCTACAATGAACTAAATGGAATGCCTTAAAATATTGATGATAATTATTTTTACAGTCGATGTTATAAAGTAGGGATTTTTTTTAATAGAGAATGTTTGATTAAGACAAACACTACATCGTACAGAATAAAAGCTGGAAATTCATAGAAGAAAATCTTTTGTCATGAAATATTAGAGGGGACTAAATCACAGACCAGCTATGGGGACTCAAATAAAAAAAAAAATGTAATAATTCTTCCTTTTCAACTAACATTCTTTCAATATTACAATTTTTTTATGAGGATTATTTTTCTTTTGTGTTTTCTTTGCATACTGAAGGGCCAAAAAGAGAAAGGATTGTTTCTAATAAAACGATACACAAGATAACTACTGGTATGACATAAGATGACTAACTGTGACCAATTTTTTAATTTTTTCTCTTCCTTTTAACCCTTTGGGCCTATAGTAAAGGAAAGTGCAAGATATATACACACAAAAAAAGGAATTGCTAATGAAATACCAAATGAAAGATTTACTGTAAAAAGATCAGCAAAAACATTACATTTGATTCTAAAACTATACTGTTACGTATTGGCAAAAGAGAAATTTAATATACTACATTTTTTATCTATTGTATAATATTCAATAGCACATACACAATGGATAATAATTTAAGATCAATTACAGTTATGTTTTGTATCATATTATTCAGTGTACTGTTTGATCTGTACTGTATGAAAAGCACTCCACAGAGTGGATTTGGCACTATATAAGTTACAGTTACTATTATTATTATTATTAGTGTATATTCTATTTGCTTTTGACCAAAACCTACAACTTCTAATCATAATTTGATAAGAATTTGTAGGCTTTGGTCAAAAGCAAATACTTAATTGTCTGTATGACACCCAAAGTACTTTGGTTTCAATCTGAATACTTCAGGAATACAATCAACACATCACTTGAAAGTGAAAATCCCCTCAATTTAAAATATTTTTATCAGCACAATGATATGAATGAACTGATCTTCCCTTTGAAAAATTAAAACAACACACGACAAAACATTACCTAGCGCATGTACATTAAATACAACTATGAGCTAAATATTCAGAAATTTAGCAAAGGTAGAAGCAAATATATAAACATAGCTTAATTTTCTTTTTCACACTTGTATATACACATTTATATCAGATACAAATGAACTTCAGGGAACCAAATTATCTCCACATACATCTGTCTGAATTTGTAAATAAGATTACATATTTTTATTTAAATTGATTTTAAATTTATTCATACATACAGGAGTTTATGAAAAAATGGACATTCTACTAACTTTACCATGGCTTTAAAAATCTGATTCCACAAATGACTTTTGTTTGACTACAAAATGGGATATTTATTGCAGTAAAAATAAACAACAAAAATCTTTAAAATCAATGCCGTCAAATAAGTTAATCAAAATAAAGTTGGAGTTTAAGTAAAAAACATTCATAAATGTTTATCTAAAATCAGGCAATAGAGTATGATAAAATAAAGTAGTTTTATTGGAATACATGTTACATGCTTTAAAAAAAAAAGTAACTGGAGATTGAATTGGTATTATTTTTAAACTTATTATAATTGGAGATAAAAATCACAATATACAAAATTAAACTGAGATTATTTCAGTACTGTGTATTGTAGAATCTTCTGTATTTACTAATTTGCCTTAATTCACCAAAGAGTGAAATTGAATAGGCTTAATACTTCACTTATCATTGAACCTGTTTAATTGTAGTGTATAAGAACTTTTCTTTGGACATAATTGCAGTCTTTTCTAAAATATCAAATAGAATACTGCCTGTGATATCTCCTTGTCATAGCCAAAATACACGAAATACTGATTTTGTTTTCTTCTATTTTTTCCCCAAGATTTACATGCATTTGAATGGGTTTTTTAAAGGACATTTATACAGTTATATTCTGTTGAAGAAAATAGATAAAAAATGTATTAAAAACTAATCTTTAAAATTTATCAAAAATCCCTGACTTCATGATTTCAAAAACTTTAAAAATGTTGTGCATATCTTTTGAGTCACTCATGAAAGTTAAAAATACATATGGTTGTGTGGTGATACACATACTAATATCGTCGCTGTTTTCACGAAGTGACGCTAGTGAAAAAAAATTGCATTCACTTTACGTTACGATTTTCCTCACTACCGTCACTTCGTGAAAACAAGGACGATATGTTATGATAAACGGGTCAGCCTTACATCATTATGTATCATGCATTGCATTAATTGAAGTGCACATGAAACAAAGGGCTCTTCTGAAGTAGTTTGTGCATTTTGCGTATTACGTGTCTGCACTTTGAGACTAGGCTGATGGCATACTGCATACATTCTGTACTTCACCTGCTACAGAGACAGCTAGGCTCTGCTCAAGGCTTTAGGAATTTTGGTATAGTGTCAAATTAGAGTCTGTGCCTGCAGACTACTTCTACATATGCATTGGTTAAGGGTAAGCATGCATATCCCTTCCTTTGGCAAACATATTCTTCTTCTTCTTCTTTTTAATACAAATGTCATAGTCCAATCACAAGTTTAGAAAGTAGCCAATAACTGTGAATGGACCTCAATTTGTGGTACCTTTCTGACCAAGATTATCAATGATGGCCAGGTAAAAAACACAAGCCAACATGTCATGACAATCACCTGGCTTACTTACCACAACCTTGTACAGACTAGGAACACATTATCAGCTGCTTACAAATAGAACTACATGTACAAGGACTTTTGATCAATTAAGAAGAGTTTGGAAAATGGAAGATATCAAACGGAAACCTAAACTTTAACAGAAAAACAAATATATTCTTGTTTTACTTTCCACTAAAATACATTTGTAAAGTTTCTTGTACATTCTAATCTGATTTCATAAACAGCAAAGTGACAGTAAGTAGACAAAACGAGTTGAAATGCATCTCATTCTTGTATGGTAGGTAGATTCATTTTAGTTTTTTTTTTTAAATATAAATCATCAGTCGAACCCTGACAGGAGAATACATATGTGGTATACACACTTGTAATAGGAGGTACCTGCTTCAAGGTATCATGTCTAAATCTAATTAAAGTGTAATAAATTAATTGTAATAGTATAATAAGGGCTCCTCATTCTCTATTTAGAGCTGTCTACTAGTTTTCAATCTAAAGAATATATAGAAGAACAAAGTTCCAGTGCATATATATATATATATCAAAGTAGTCTCCCACAAAAGTTACCAAGGAAAACGAGCATAGGTGTAATTAGAGTATAACTCTTTAAATTTCAGTTGCCAGTTTAGATTGTCATTTCCAAGACATAATTTACATTTAAACAGCCAATTGTATGAACAAACATACACTCCCAGTATAAAGCATCTTATAGAATATACCATGGATACATATTTGTAGCATGAAAATAAATTTATGATCCAAAAATAGATTACTATACTACCCTGGTAATAAATCTATATCCTCACATAGATATATTCTTCTTCTGCAATCATATAAATATAAAAGTAAAATCTTAATTTGTATTCATTTATATATTTTCTCTTTGTCAAAATAGCAACCCATATACATTCTAATCACAGTACAGTGAACCAGCAACCCGGCATTCTAGCATTAAGCATTAAGCATTAAGCATTAAGCATTAAGCATTAAGCATTAAGCGCTATATAAATGTAATTTATTATTATTATTATTATTCTAATCACAGTGCAGTGAACCAGTATTTAGTGCCTTGCATGTCACTCATAGGTATACTAGAACATATGTATCCTCTCTGGCACCTGAGATAACATTCCTTTAAATACTATTTAACAGGAATATATGTCATACAACAGGAATGAGTGCAATGAATTATATCAAGGTATGGACTATCACACACTTGTGCCATGTAGATGCACCATTTCAACTCAATGGCATTCTATATATCATGTGCCACAATAGAAATACAATCTCATTACATCTCATTTTGAAAGCGGCAGGTAAAAAACAAAATGCATATGTCATGTGCAAGCTGCACTTGCAATTAAGGGATATCATCCATGAACTAGCTATCCTATCGCAGGAATAGCAGTCAGTCTATACCATACCATGAGGGATTTTCATTGACACCCAATGAAAAAGAGTCAATGGAAAATATATGCATTTTCAACTTATGTGCACCATCTCCACTCCATTGGGAGATCACTCTTCTACTGCCCCAAAACTGGAATGGCAGTCAGCACATATATTTGCTATAAAATTTTCCATTGAAACCTCATTTCCATTGTGGCATATGCATTCATAATATAAGAGCATGATCTTCTTTTTGTGAACTGAAATAGGTATCGAGTATATACATTTTCAACGTATGTGCACCATCTCCACTCCATCGGGAGGTCACTCTACCACTGCCCCCAATACTGGGATGGCAGTCAGCACATAATATAAGACCTCTATTCATGAGAGCATTCTTTTTGTGAATTGAAATAGGTATCGAGTATATACATTTTCAACGTATGTGCACCATCTCCACTCCATCGGGAGGTCACTCTACCACTGCCCCCAATACTGGGATGGCAGTCAGCACATAATATAAGACCTCTATTCATGAGAGCAATCTTTTTGTGAACTGAAATAGGTATCGAGTATATACATTTTCAACGTATGTGCACCATCTCCACTCCGTCGGGAGATCACTCTACCACTGCCCCCAATACTGGGATGGCAGTCAGCACATAATATAAAACCTCTATTCATGAGAGCATTCTTTTTGTGAACTGAAATAGGTATCGAGTATATACATTTTCAACGTATGTGCACCATCTCCACTCCATCGGGAGGTCACTCTACCACTGCCCCCAATACTGGGATGGCAGTCAGCACATAATATAAAACCTCTATTCATGAGAGCATTCTTTTTGTGAACTGAAATAGGTATCGAGTATATACATTTTCAACGTATGTGCACCATCTCCACTCCGTCGGGAGGTCACTCTACCACTGCCCCCAATACTGGGATGGCAGTCAGCACATAATATAAGACCACTATTTATTGAGAGCATTCTTTTTGTGAACTGAAATAGGTATCGAGTATATACATTTTCAACGTATGTGCACCATCTCCACTCCGTCGGGAGATCACTCTACCACTGCCCCCAATACTGGGATGGCAGTCAGCACATAATATAAAACCTCTATTCATGAGAGCATTCTTTTTGTGAACTGAAATAGGTATCGAGTATATACATTTTCAACGTATGTGCACCATCTCCACTCCATCGGGAGGTCACTCTACCACTGCCCCCAATACTGGGATGGCAGTCAGCACATAATATAAAACCTCTATTCATGAGAGCATTCTTTTTGTGAACTGAAATAGGTATCGAGTATATACATTTTCAACGTATGTGCACCATCTCCACTCCATCGGGAGGTCACTCTACCACTGCCCCCAATACTGGGATGGCAGTCAGCACATAATATAAAACCTCTATTCATGAGAGCATTCTTTTTGTGAACTGAAATAGGTATCGAGTATATACATTTTCAACGTATGTGCACCATCTCCACTCCATCGGGAGGTCACTCTACCACTGCCCCCAATACTGGGATGGCAGTCAGCACATAATATAAAACCTCTATTCATGAGAGCATTCTTTTTGTGAACTGAAATAGGTATCGAGTATATACATTTTCAACGTATGTGCACCATCTCCACTCCATCGGGAGGTCACTCTACCACTGCCCCCAACACTGGGATGGCAGTCAGCACATAATATAAAACCTCTATTCATGAGAGCATTCTTTTTGTGAACTGAAATAGGTATCGAGTATATACATTTTCAACGTATGTGCACCATCTCCACTCCGTCGGGAGATCACTCTACCACTGCCCCCAATACTGGGATGGCAGTCAGCACATAATATAAAACCTCTATTCATGAGAGCATTCTTTTTGTGAACTGAAATAGGTATCGAGTATATACATTTTCAACGTATGTGCACCATCTCCACTCCATCGGGAGGTCACTCTACCACTGCCCCCAATACTGGGATGGCAGTCAGCACATAATATAAGACCTCTATTCATGAGAGCATTCTTTTTGTGAACTGAAATAGGTATCGAGTATATACATTTTCAACGTATGTGCACCATCTCCATTCCATCGGGAGGTCACTCTACCACTGCCCCCACATCTGGGATGGCAGCTAGTCAGCACTGAAATAGGTATAAATAAAAGCATATATTCTACAAATACAGGATTGCAACTCCTTTCTATGAAAGCTCAATATCCTAAGGTGTGCCATTCATATGCTCCACTTGCTCTATGGAATCATATGAAATCATAAGTGGCCTATATACATACAGGAATAGCAGCCAGCATGCATCATGCAGGCTCATTCAATTCTATTTGAAGGAGAAGCAGTGGCTCAACTAGTGGTCTCATAGCCGGGAAGGTCCTGTGTTCAAAACCAAGGGAAATTTGGTAAGGCATTAGTTAATACTCACTACCACAAGAGGACTTAAAGCCGTTAGTCTCCTGAGAACTTAAATTGAAGGACACACATGCTTTCTCAGCAGTAAGGTACAATTAAACAAACCATCTTAATTCAACAGAGAATGTCTGCCACTCACTTACAGGACCATTACTTTACTATCCTTATTTTTTAGGAATAGCAGTGAGATATTGCAATGAGGCTTTAATGGCAACATGTGAGAACATGCAGGTACATGTTTAACCACTGTAGGCAAACATATTTCCAACTCTCTGTGGCTGCTCATCTCTTCTTCAAAGAATACATGCATTTGCAATAAGCATGCACCATTTAACTCTTTTAGATTGGCATTTCTGAGCTGCCCTATAACAGGCATAGCAACAAATAAGTAACGTTCCTCTCACCAGGGTTTTTACTTAGTTATCTAAAAAACTGCAACATGCTAATCTAAATTAGCTTCACATCTACAAGAATACATTTATAATACAAATTATATATCAAATTAGAAGCTTTAGCAATTAAACAATGCAGTTGTAGTTTTGCCAAAACTCTACCATAATATTGAAAGAGTGGAAATCATTTGATTAATAAGTTTTCTCTATCACACTCTTATAAACAATTAAAATACATAAACCACCTTTTTACCAATATCAGATATCATTTACATAGAAATCACATACGCACAGTCTAAGTGAATCATCTTCTACTACCATCAAGTTTCCACCAGATTCATTCACCGGTCATTCTTTAAATTATAAAAAATTGAGGGAATCAGGAGACCCAGATATTTATGATGAGACTCCAATGTGTCTCCATCTCTAAACAAAGAACTGACAGGGACATGAAGTACATATACACATGTCCATTTGTCTTAATAGTACAAATGAACATTGTGATGAATTTGCATTAATTTGATTATCTCTTATAAGTACTTGGGGGAAAAATGTGAAAACAAGGAAGAGTTTCAGACTGAACTTTTCCAAAAGAGAAAATTCATATCTTTTGTCTTTCTTTGTTTTCTACATTCCTTTGTCAACTGCAGCAAAAGAAAACAAAAATGACAGCAGTTATATATATCAACAACTTTCTCTTTGGGGTAACAATTTTTTCAATCCAATTATACATTATGTTAATCCACTTCATATCAACCAAAAACCCAAGTACCGGTATCTAAATGCAATGAAGTTTGCTTTTCTCCTCCCATGCAGGCACAGGTGAGGCCAAAATCCTAATAATATTAATAACATTATATTATGTAAGCTATGACTGCATGAATATCTGGGACCATGTTTCTTCGGGTACATGACAAGACCGCATGCTAGCCATTTTTAATCATGGTATTCTGAACATGGAGTCAAAGCTTCTTCATTAGACACGAGAGGCTTAGGAAGGGACATACTACCATCATCATACTCAAATACAAAATTGTCCTTTGCTGAATCTGGTGACCCTGGGACATGATTTGGATGGTACCATGCATCGTGACCACCACCTTGGGCTTCATCACTACACAAAGCCCCTGGTAATGATGTTTCGGTGTTGGAGACATCGGTTGGTAGGGATGCAGCAGGTTGATCGCCAGGATTACTAGCCCCTTGGAGAAGATCACTGACAGGTGCTGGTGTAGCAATGGCAGGGGCTGGTGTAGCAATGGCACAGGCTGGTGTAGCACCGGCAGGGGCTGGTGTAGCATTTGCAGGAGCTGGCGTAGCACCGGCAGGGACTGGCGTAGCACCGGCTGGAGCTGACGTAGCACCGGCAGGGGCTGGCGTTGCACCGGCAGGGGCTGGCGTAGCACCGGCAGGGGCTGGCGTAGCACCGGCAGGGGCTGGCGTAGCACCGGCAGGGGCTGGCGTTGCATTTGCAGGGGCTGGTGTAGGGATAAGTGGTCCAGATTCCTCAGGTGATTTACTGGGTAATACATGTCCATTAGCTAAATTTATGAAGAATGAATGAAGAAAATGAAACAAATGTCAGTAAGTTAAAAAAATATTAATTCATAAGCAGGTTTATGGATTATAGTAAGTACACTTTCTGAATACACCCATTTAGATATCTGGAATCTTACACTACATGTGGCATATCGGGTAACTTTAAAGAATTGTCTTTGGTTTCCCAGTGTAAGTGTGCATGAACATGAATGGGTGCACTAGCTAGACCATGGCTCTAGAACCAATGAAAACAACAAACAATCTTTGGTAATCGAGTCATATTCAATTCATTGGACAACAATATAATAAAAAATTCTATCCAAATACCAAATTCTCCTGATTCTGCATGAATTACAACCATGTAATCTTGTTATTTATAATCTATGTCAGGGGACTATATTGCCTACAAGTTTTCAAACTTCCTTTTAAGACTCCTGAATTTCTTCATGATTTCCAGAAATGTAAGATTATGATTGTTTCATGTTACTTTTGTTTATATATTATGTTCAGGTTTTATGATTGAAATAAATGATGATGAATTGAATTGAATTCATTACCGTAATTGAAAGAAAAAAAAATATTTTGGGCCCTTTTGGGGCATTTACCTTTGATTATTTCATCCTAAAATATGATCAATTTATTTTGTGACAGCTACACCTGTTCCCAATTTGTAGAGCAAATAGACCCCTTATTATATAGCCACACATTACAGTAGATATTGCCTACTAGGCAACCATTTATAATAGGATTAACTGAATCAGAAACATCTAAAGACCAACTGGTGTTCCGACTCATTCTCATAGGATATTTAGGTTTAGGTATAAGGATGTTTTAGATTAGGTTAAAGGTTTTGAAGTGGTTGGTTCAGGGTTAAATTTAGAAATATTTTTTAGTGTATGATTTTGATCGCAGAGCATTCGTTGCCTTAGTATATCTGTCTGACAACCAACATATTGGTGGTTTTATGCAGAAATTGCTGTAAGATCACTTCTTTTGCAATATCAGTTAGAAGGAAATCTCAAAATATGTTAAAATTATCTGTTGAAACCAATGTTTAAGAAAGATAATGTGGTATGTAACTCTGAAAATAAACAAGACCTGTATATATGAAGTGCTAGATACATGTAGGATGCCCAAAGTTTTTTCTGATATTTCCAATAACCTCAATTAAATTATGGCAAAAAATATATTTTGCATTAAAAATGGTTGTTTTAATAAGAATGTTAATCTACATCTGCACAGTTCAACTTAATAAATAATAATCAATAATGATTGAGCATCCCATTTGGCTTTTCATATACAAGTCGTTCGTAAAGTCATGCATAACTTTACGAACAGCTTTATGAAACACCCCCCTGCAGTTTATTTGATGACTATGACAAAAAGATCTCTCTGTAACAATCTATAGAAAGCTTAAATAAAACTTACGTCTTCGTGCTTTCCATTTCTTGTAAGCGATAAAGGCCAGTAATATGACGCATATTACTATCACAGTAACAATAGCTATTATTCCGGGCACTGAGAACTTTTTGATAGGTGTACCTTCTTCTGAAATTAAAATAAAGATATGAAATCAGCATGAATATAGATAGTCTTATAAATATGAGATAAATGTTACATATTCATCAACAAAAACAAAATCATGCTCCTGACTGCACCATTCTGATCATTTCTATGAAATATATCCTTCCTATCTACTGAAGATCAATGAATTCTGGCATTAAAAAGAATACAATTAAAAACTGATTATATGTTTTTTTGACTTGCTCACACATTTGATATAAGCAATTCAACCTATTGTATTTTTTCTCTCTAACATATCCATCCTGCAAACAATAAAAAGTAGTGATTAATTTCTTTGATAATATATTTTTCTTTTACAATTTCAGATCTTATTGGATCTTAACAGTTCATTGTGCACAGAATAGAAAATGATTTGTTTAAAGTGCATAAATGCATGTATAGTTATATATATATATATGGTACATCAAATGTGAAACCGCACGGTTCAAGTATGGAAAAGATTTTTTCAGGAGGCATATAGTGAAAGAAAACAAAAAGAAAGAGCTTAATTGCTAGTTGGATAGACCTACCATCAAAGTTATTAGAAGTGTTGTGTGCCTGTGATGACAAAGGTGGTGGAGTTGTATAAATTACAGGTGCGGTTGACTCAGGCAATGGAACCGATGAAGGTAGTGTGGGTGCTGATTGATTGGGTGAGGCAGTGCTGGGCTTTATAATGGGAGGTTGCGGACAGTCAGCGTGGGATGGGTCATGCTTACATTCAAAGCATATGTTCGGAGATAAGTAATACTCTCTGAAAGATTCATAAAGGAAAATGATTAACACTAAAGTGTGAAAATCTAAAATCTTAGAAATGTTCTATGGAATGGTGGTGGTTATTTTACTTGACTGCTAAGAAAGCATAAATGCTTGTAAGTAAGCAACCAGGCGGCAGACGGCTTTAGGTCCTCTCAGAGGGACCTGGTAATGAGGATTAATGCCCTACCAAAGGGCACTAGCAGATCGCCTTGGTTTCGAACCCGGGTCACCGGATTACGAGACCACTGCTCTACCGACTGAGCTATCGTGCATCCGATAAATTGAGTCCGTCTTATCAAATTAATCTGAAATAAGATAATGATTCTTTACTCATTCTATGCTAACATTTAAAAGAATGGAATAAACTCAACTAATGATGGGAGTAGACTATAGGCTGGCCGGGTAGCAGTTATCTTGGTGGTCTCATGGTCTGGTCAACTTTACTTTTTCTTTTCTGCTGCATGGTTTCTGGAACAATAGAGCCTTGTTCAGATATAAACTGCTACGTTTCTTTTTTTAATAATATTGACGTTGGAGCACAGGAGTATTGTAGCAACTCTACATATTTTTTTTACAGACACATTTTTTCTCAAGCCTCTCCTGGAACTGGGTAGTATTCTTCCCAAATGTCATCCATTACACGGACAACAAGATCTTCTGTGACTGCACATCTATATCGTGTTGCCACCCACAGGTCTCGTACAGAGCTTCATCAATGTGCTTATATACCAAGTGCATCCGGTCATGGAACTCTGATCATGGGCCTGAAATTTGAAAATCACCCTGACCAATATTTTGCTCATGGGGAGGGGGGGGGGGGGGGAGGTAGGGTAGGGAGCATTAAAATATTTTTTTTCTTTTTTACCCTCAGAATTTTGAAAATTGCGCCGACTGATATTTCGTTTATTGGGGGGGTGGGAAGCATATATTTTATTTTGGGGTCAACATGGGTGAGGGAGTGAATGCTCCATTTTTTTGTCAACCCCCAGTCTCACCCCCCCCCCCCCCCTTGAGCAAAAAATGTATAATTATTTTTTTTTGCCAGGGGGGGGGGAGGGAGGGCTTATTTACATTTTTTGTTTAAAAAAGGTAATATTAATGTTATCTTTTTGGGGCGCTGGGTCTGAAAGTTGAAAATCACACCAACCAATATTTCGCTCAGTGGGGCGAGGGGGGGGGGGGTAGGGAGCACTAAAATATTTTTTTCCTTTTTGCCCCACCCCCCATTTTTGTTTCAACACCCAGTCCCCCCCCCCTTTGAGCAAAAATGTATAAAACAGTTATTTTTAATTTTTTTTTGCCGGGGGGGGGGGGGGGGGGGGGGGGGGGGGGGGGGGGGGGGGGGTTTATTTACATTTTTTGTTTATAAAAGGTAATATTAATGTTATCTTTTGTGGCCGTCGGCCTGAAATTTCGCGCAGTGGGGTGAGGGGGTAGGGAGCACTAAAATTTTTTTTTTTTTTTGCTCCCGGAATTGTGAAAATCACGACGACCGATGATGTGTTTAGTGTTGGGGGGGGGGGGGAATGAACGCTCCTCTTTTTTTTTTAACACCCACTTGAGCAAAAATTATATTTAAAAAATTCCCCCTTTTTTTTTTGCCAGGGGGCGGGCGGCCATTTTCATTTTTTGTTTAAAAATGGTTATATTAATGTTATCTTTTTGGGGGACCGATATTTCGCTCAATGCAGGGGGGGGGGGGGGGGAGTAACAGGGCACTTAGCATGACCGTGCACTCATGGTTGGCTGCCATGTTTCTTTATATGATGTTGTTATCTAGTATGTACGCTCCTTAATTATGCCATAAAGATCTTTATACAACATTAGTGTTTGGTTCAGGGGTTAATAAAGAAATATGTGTAGTATTCAATTTTGACCCTCCTTAGGCTAAATGATGATTCTTTACACAACATTTCTTTCATGAGTTTTGTATAAATTTTCTATTGTTTTGAACAGGCTATTAATTACCCAGGTGGACATGGACCGCATTCTGCATCCTGTGTAGTTGTACAGTTCTGAAGGTACTCGACACCCGGATAACATGTCACACAGCGGCGGCATACAAGGCCTGTATAGCCTTCCCCCATCTGAAAAAAACGTTCTGCACATGGTGTACAGGTTGTTTTAGTTCCTGAACCATAGCCGCATTGCTGTGGGAAAAAAAATGCATTCAGAAAGTATGATTAAATCTTTAATACACTAAAACTCTCTCTAGAAAATAGATGCAGTAGAAAGTACCGATAGGATCAAAGGCTTGCCCAGATATGCTACGGTGAACAGCCGCAAAAAAGCCACCGCTTTTTAAAAATGTGTAAATGAATGGCAACTGAATGCAACAAAGGACTATATAATATAAGATAGAAAAATGTAAAAGGTATTACAATTCATGTCATAATACAAAAATTAAAACGCTGCGGTTTTGCCTCATTATATCTGAATGAGCCTTAAAAATCATCAACTATACTGCCTCTAATATATGTTTGCATATTTGCACATATGTTTGTAATATTGGTTGCAATTAAACAATTGCTGTTTTTATACAACACATCTGCCTCTAATAAGCCAAATTCTGAATGATATGAATGCTAACCATAATTCACAAATCATCATCCCTCTGAAATAATAATGACATGTTTGTTTCTACTTGACCACAACCAATACTAACAATGAATAAAAGGATTAATGATTATACAAACAAAACCGTTAATGATATGATGGAATAAAATAGGAATTACCATAACAAGTAAAAGTGCTTGAACTTACTTCGTTGGGGGAATGTTCTGTGCCCTGGGGACAGAACGTACAGTTCTCACAAGTAAGATTTGGGTTTACGAACTGATTCCATAAACATGAATCTCCAGGGTCCTTGGTCTCTGCAGTCTGCTCAACCTGTCAAAACACAACATTCAAATTATTCAAAAGATAGGATTCATGTCTGGTCATAAACAAGTACTCTGAGCACAAAGTTGTCTTTGCAGTTTGCACACAATGGTAATACCAGGGGCAGGGGGGCAATATCTTATACTCTCATATTTTCAGAATTCTCAGCACCGATCTAAGTTAACCCCTTTCTGTTCCATTACATTCATAGATAATTATGAGTTTGGGGTTTTAATCATGTCATTGTAAATTTGTTTAAACTATGGAAACAAAGTTTTTAATGTATGTACACATTTCTATTTTAGAAAGATATATGAAATAACTATTTTTAGGCTGACCAAACATACATTTGCTACATCGTTCAGAATATGACCAGAAGTCATGTATTATGTTCATTGAATTTGAACATTTAACAAAACAAGTTAGTTCAAAGAAAAACAAATTCTATAAATGTTGACTGAACATATTAAAAGAAAAGTCAACAAGTCATCTACAGAAAATACAGAAGAGGACATCTTGAGAAGAAAAAAAAACTATATTATCCTAAATTACTAAATTGTAATCACTGTAATTGTAATCACTTAAAGGGGAAGTCCACCCTGATATCAAGTTGGTTTTAATAGAAGCAGAAAAATGAGAGAAACAGGTCAGTGAAAGTTTGAGAAAACACCTATTAAAAATAAGAAAGTTAAGAATTTTTGATAAATCAAACATGCAACGCTGTGACATATCTTGTGAGCTTCCTTCCCATTTGCCCTCAAGGTACTAAAATACTTCGAAAATTGATATTCAATCAGCTTTAAAGCTTTACAGCTTTACAAGCTTGCTTTCATGTAGGTCCCATCATATTTCTCTCAGTTAAATCAGTACTCCATATTGATCACTTATCTTTGTTATTTATTATGTATTATTGAGAAAAAAAACAATTTGTACTTTATTCAAAATGTATATGTAACATGAGAAATATGAAAATAAATGAAATGAAATACCGGTAAATGAAATGAAATCATACATTCACCCTAAATTCATTATACAACCCTGTATGAAACAAATCTATACCGTCATCAATAACTAAGAAAATGAAAGTTTATGAAATTTTCTGAACAGAGCAAGTTGGAGAGGAGCTCACAAGATTTATCACAAAGTTGCCAACTAGTGTTTCCATGATGACAACTTTTAAAATTCATAACTTTCCTATTTTCGATCGGATATTACTCAAACTTTCTCTAATTGTTTCTTTTGTTAATCTGCTTTTTATTAAAACCAACTTAATATTCTGGTGGACTTATAATCCTCTCTTTTGCTCCTATACAACATGAGCTTACTTGCATTCTAAGGAGTATACATTCGCAAATTAATGAAGAAATACCTGTGAAATATTTCTAGGTGGAACAGGAGAGCTACAGGCGGCGGGCACCATGAATACAAGACTGGCAGCGGTGACAATAAATGTCACCGAAATTCTAATATATTTAAGCATATTACGTTCTGAAAGTGAAAAAGAGAAATTTATAGAAAAGAAAATATTAACACCTGCAATTTAACTTATCTGGTTTCTAAAATTACTTAGGCAGACTTTCTCTCACACCATATTCATGGCTTGAATGTAGAAGCAAAATATCAAATTAGGTCCCTGTTGAACAAAACTTACCATTGATGGTAGCTTTGCCATCAATGTTAACTATTACCTTGGAAACCTTGATTTTGATTGGTTGTTGAGCCCTGTTACCATGGTTATTGCCATTGATAAAGGGCAAGTTTCATGCAATATGGGCCCAGGTCAGATGATAAATTTGCCTTTGAAGCTTTGATTGAAAAAAGGATCAGAGATGGTATTTTGAATTTTATCTCAGTGGCAGTCAGTGCGATAAAACATCCTTAAGATTTTTTGATTTAAATTTGGTATGCTGCGAATCATTTTAGCAAGATTTTATCTCATCTAAGACACGCCTTTTTTATGTAGTCCAGAATCTATCAGAATACTAATTTTGAGATTTATTTAAATTTCATTTCAGCGTTGCCATTGATGGCAAAGGGCAAGTTCCATACAATATGGCCCATGCAGGGTCAGATGATAAATTTGCCTTTGAAGCTTTGATTGAAAAAAGGATCAGAGATGGTATTTTGAATTTTATCTCAGTGCAATAAAATATCCTTAGGATTTTTTTATTTAATTTGGTATGCTGCGAATCATTGTAGCGAGATTTTATCTCATCTAATTAGACACGCCTTTTTATGTTGTCCAGAATCTATCAGAATACTAATTTTGAGATTTATTTAAATTTCATTTCAGTGTTGCCATTGATGGCAAAGGGCAAGTTCCATACAATATGGGCCCATGCAGGGTCAGATGATAAATTTGCCTTTGAAGCTTTGATTGAAAAAAGGATCAGAGATGGTATTTTGAATTTTATCTCAGTGCAATAAAATATCCTTAGGATTTTTTTATTTAAATTTGGTATGCTGCGAATCATTGTAGCGAGATTTTATCTCATCTAATTAGACACGCCTTTTTATGTTGTCCAGAATCTATCAGAATACTAATTTTGGGATTTATTTAAATTTCATTTCAGTGTTGCCATTGATGGCAAAGGGCAAGTTCCATACAATATGGGCCCATGCAGGGTCAGATGATAAATTTGCCTTTGAAGCTTTGATTGAAAAAAGGATCAGAGATGGTATTTTGAATTTTATCTCAGTGGCAGTCAGTGCGATATTAGACACACCTTTTTATTTAGTCCAGAATCTATCAGAATAGATCTAGACCCCCTCTACTGATTTTTATTTTATTGATAAAATAAAATAAAAAGATAAAATATGACTAAAATCTCAGAATACCATCCCGGCTTGGCAATCAAATCTACATACATTAGCCTGGTAAGATTCACCTGCTTCAGCAGATGCAGAATCAAGTGATATTTACAACATTTAATTGTCATATAACCCTGGGTAATCCCAGACTCCAGAGGCCAGAAGATCACTGACAAGTGACAGCCAATGAGATGAAAACAAAACAATCATTAGAAAGAAAAAAAGTTGCGCAAGATCCTCAAGACAAGGATCAAGACCCATGGCCCACACGTAAAGATCAACAAAAACAAATTATAACTGAATTAGGATGTTAAAAATGTCAGTCTAACTGTGTGAGTGACTTGTGAGCCCGGCCCTAAAAAAATTGTTTTGATGAGACGTCACTCTGAATGAGTCTGACATCACTGAAATCGAACTGTCAAACTCAAACTCAAAGTCATAGAATTATTTATTAATTAATTATTGTTGTTACGTACGTACGTAGCTTACCTTGGTATACATCAAAGAGGAAATACTGGACCCTGCTTGTATATTCAAGAATTGCCCAGCTATCGTCAATTATTGTTGAACTTGGAGGCAGCTACGGTAGGTCTGCCAGTTTGATCTGCTTTGATTTGTATATTCAAGAATTGCCCAGCTATCGTCAATTATTGTTGAACTTGGAGGCAGCTACGGTAGGTCTGACGTCTGCTAGTTTGATCTGCTTTGATCTGCTTTGATCTTACGGGGATACCCCATTACACCTTCCGGTACACAGGTCATGTCATCGAATGGATCGAATGTTCAAGAAGATTGCACATAATTGCACAATCCGGGAACGTTTTACTTGCACCATGTTAATAGCATTGCACCCTGCACCTGGCTCTCGTAAGCACACACACACTCAACAGTCTGAAAGAATCTTCAACTGTGAAGGAGGTAGACTTAACCCAAAGAAGAAGAAGAAGAAGAAGAAGAAGAGAATTGAACGTAAACGCGCGCGTGATGATCCTACATACGTCATCCAGCCATGCTTAGGGAAGTCCCCAAATTTAGTCTAAATTTCAGACTTAGCACAACATTTGTGAGCTCAACGAAAAGTACTCTTTCCTATTGTATGATGATATTGGGGATATAACGATGATAATAATTTATAAAAATCAATGATATAATCGTAATAACAATAATAATAATTACAATAGTTATAAAAATAAGATATTTATTGGAATATGTCTTTCATTGATGTAGATATTATTTTTGTCATACGTGTTTCATCAATATTACTGTAGATATGGCTTATGATACATGTTCATACAGTTTTGTAGCAATATTCGGATCATTTCAAAAGAAAAAGAGGTAAATACGTAAAAGTAACTAATAATATTCGGAAACAAACCTTTCCAAGAAAACTTTTGATTTTTCTTAAATAATCATATAACTAGATCCTTGCATTTTGTGTATTTGGAGGACCTTTATCATACCAGGGATATCCCTGATCATACTTAGAATAAAGATCTATCATAGTACCATTTCTATAATGCAAGGTAATGAGGAGTGTGTGGAAAGAGCAAACGCCCGGGGGTCTTAATTTCATCAACTAAAATCGACTTCGATTTTAAAAATCAATTTCAAAGCCGAATCAATTTTATTTATTACATGAAACAGCTCCTAAAATCTATTTTAGGGTTTTTTACTGAATGAAACACCCCCAGAAATCCGCTTTGTGAGCTATATGGATTAGGCAGATGAGATTCTGTAGTCTGGAAGCCTGTCCCGAAATAGTCATCCACCCTATTTATAAGATTTGACCCCTCAAAGGTACGTAGACATTGACAAAAAGGTTGTCAACCTGACTGTAGCTGTCAGATTTAATAGCCCCTGGAGCCCCCTCCCCCCAAAACAGCCCCCAAATCGCATCGCTTTCAACAGATTTAGCCCATGCACCTAACCATTGTTAGCATAGGAACTTGTATGATTGGACATTACACACACTTTTTGTTTTTCCGTAATTGTTATTTTTATTTTCATTCAGTATCAAAACAGTATACAAATCTTTAAAATGTAATTATCGTCATCATAAAAACATGATCCAATCAACTTACTACATGTACGATTCATAAATTATGATCGATTAAAAAAAATGAAATCAGTTACATTATGAAACAAATCATAACCCCCTACATTACTACCCAACCCCAAATAAAAACTACACTGTCGCTGATATAGTTGGAATATTTTTTTTTTACCCCAATTTGATGGAATACTTTTGACAATGATTTATTCCTAATAGAGCTAAATAATAGTATACATTCTCAGATTTTATTGAATAATAATTTGCCAGTGTTTGTTTTGCGTGACTGCTAAAGCATGTGTATGCTATGCTTATCAACTAGGGGACATACGCCCTTAAAGGTACTATGTCCCATTTGCAGGTCAAAAAAATGAAAAGGTTAAATTCCAACGACATTTGAAAGATAATACAAATTTAGAACTTTCCTAAAAAAAAGGGGGGGGGGCTTGAAAATGTCTTTAAGTGGGAAACTAACGACTATTAGTTGTCGAATCGACTTAAGAGCTATAGAGCCAGAAAGTAATAGTCTGATTTTTCAGACCATTGTACCGAATGGTCGTACGTTTAATGCTGCGCAAAGATTCAATCAGTTTAATTTTTGCCATTACATGAAGTGGGTTATTGATATAGACAAATGCTCATGTATTGATGTATGTTATTACCAAAGAAGAAAGAAAAAGCCAGTCAGTACGTCACTCAATAGTGTCTCACAGTGAAATCTAGCAAGTAAACCTTTCATTACATAATTTGAATTTGAATAATGACACTGCTAACGTTTGAATTTCACAGAAAGGACATAAATATGACATATTCATGATTCCTGCAAAGTTCTACAGAATTTGATGTTGGTTGCAAAAGGGACATAGTATATTTAAGTCATATATGACAGTAATGAGGATTAATGCCCCACAAAAGGGCACTAATATGGCACATCGACACGGTTTTGATGATGGGGCCTCACAGTTACGAGGCCATTGCCTTGCCACTGAACCATGACTGTACGCAGCGGGGGCTAGGGTAGGGGGCAGTTTCCACAAATAGAAAAATAAAATAGAATAAAGAATCAATAATTCTTTGAATCCCCCCGGTCCCCAACAGAAAAAAAAATCCTCTGTACGGCCGTGCATTATGGCTCAAGGCAAGGGCACACAGAAGATTTTTTCTGTTGGGGACCGGGGGAAATTCAATGGATTATTGATAATTTATTGCAAATCTAAAAATTTCGTGACCCCTCCCCCCCCCCCAAAAGTGTCCTTTTACCCCCCGCCCCTCCCACCCCCGCTTATTCAGCCGTTGGCTGAGTCGTTGCAATTTGTTTGGGACCTAAAAAAAAAGGGGGGGGGGGGGTAGAGCACTTTTTTTTAGGTCCCCACCCCCCCCCCAAAAAAAAATGTGCTCTTACACCCCCCCCCCCCCCCCCCCCCCCCCCCCCGCTGAGTCGTTTCGATTTTTTTTTTAGACTAAAAAAATATATATATATATATATATGTTCTCTTTCCCGGAAGAAATTCCTGGATCTGCCCCTGAATGTATACCACCTTTAACCAAAAATGAAACGTAAACATCTCAACGATTACTTGATGAATAAGTGATTGAATTATGCAAGTACACATGTATATATTGTAAATAATCTCCATATTACATTTTTGTTGTTTTTTTTTGTCAAAAAAATGCAATTTTTTTTGTATAAATAATCTGTAGATACATGTATCTATGACTTTTTAACCTGGTATATCCTCTTCATAATTATATTTGGAGTGTAGAAATTGTGCTACGGTATTACTCAACATGTATACTTCTACTGTCAAGTTTTATTTTTTGATAATGATATATTTATTTTTGCCAAGTGTGTGCTAAGAACAGGGGCCAGACTCGACTAGCACATGTGCTATTATTTGGCTCCTTTTCATCACCTTCTATATTCTATGAGAAAAGACATATGTCTAGCATATCAATACTTTGTTAGGTTTTTCTTTAATATGATCTATAATATTCATTTATGAACATGTACCATTCACGATGTATTCAAATGTTTAATCACTGATGTTATTGATGATGAATAAATAAAATCAAATCAAATCAATCAAATCAAAAGAATTCTTGGACATTTAATAATAAATCAATAAAAACCGAGTCAGATGCCTTTCCGAAGTCCATTGTGACCAAATGTCCAATATTGTGATCAAACGAATGAAATAAAATATTATCTATTAATCTCGCAGCTTTCTCCTATCTTTGATATAACCTACTTAGCTCACTTTATACCGCTTTTCCCTTTTTGCTAATTCTATACCTTCGACATTAATCAACTTTCAAAAGCGTTAACGGTCTATAATTTAGGACGCACATTGTATTTGTCCCTCTAACAACGTACGTAGGCCTAATTACGATGTTGCGATGCTAATTCTATCGTATGCTTCATTCCAACTCCCTGCCTCTAGTATGTTTCCCCGATACTGGCTAAAATGTATGATAAAATTCGATCATGAAACCGTCATACCCTAGAGGCAAGCCTGAGAGTGCGCGCCCCCAAACACAGCCCCCCCCCCCAACAACAAAACTGACAACAATTTCCGTCAAGATGGGGTGCCAAAAGGCCCTTAACATTTCGGTACAATTTCCCTTTAAACCTCATGGACTAAATGTTGTCAGAAGGAAGAGCTATGGCTGCACCTGCAATACGAAAATAGTAAATCTATATATTAAAAAAAATGTCCATCGGGGAGGGTATAACAATCCCCTGGGGGGGGGGGGGTACCAAAGTACACTAAAACCAAGTTTTTCTTTTGCTCACCTGTTTCACGAGAGATAATAAAGGATTTATGCTGGTTATTGTGTAATTAACACGCATGAATGGTAAATTTCAGCATGGAAGTCACATTTATACCTAAGAAGCTCGCGTTATATCTTCTAAAAACAGATGGAGATGTTCAAAAGGAGTGTTTACATCATCTGATCATGTAAATATTCTGGCTGCTTTTAAGAAAGCGAGACAATTTTGGGTACATTTTAATAACTTGTTAAGGAAATTATCATTTGACACCAAATTATACCTCAATATAAAACTAAAAATTGGACTTTATATAATTTGAAGTGAATTCACTCATACATTTTTGAGTAATTATTAGGGTTAGAATGTAAAACCCAATAATTTTTTTCACATCCAGATCATTTGGGGGCAGTAAATCTTGGTTTAATTAAGGACACTTTGGTGGGTTTTTTCTCAATGTAAGTTTCTATACTTTGTAATGGACTAAATTAGTCCATGGTCCATGAGGTAAAAATTAACCAAAATTTCAAGGAGTTAAGCATGTCACCCAATCATTCTCTCTCTCTCTCTCTCGCTCTCTCTCTCTCTCTCTCTCTCTCTCTCTCTTTATCTATCTATCTATCTATCTATATCAATTAACCCCCCCCCTCCACTGACTCTCTCTCTCTCTCTCTATCTCTCTTTATCTATCTATCTATATCAATTAACCCCCCCCCCCCCTCCACTGACTCTCTCTCTCTCTCTCTCTCTCTATCTCTCTTTATCTATCTATCTATATCAATTAACCCCCCCCCCCCTCCACTGACTCTCTCTCTCTCTCTCTCTATCTCTCTTTATCTATCTATCTATATCAATTAACCCCCCCCCCCCCCCCTCCACTGACTCTCTCTCTCTCTCTCTATCTCTCTTTATCTATCTATCTATATCAA